ATGGAGCCGTGCAAACACCCCGGAGCTTGTCGCTAGGCCAACCCCCCCCACACACACACACACACACACACACACACACACATGTATACGTCACAAGGGCACTCCTGTTACAGACTCACACACAATCTCTCTCTCTTCTTCATTCATTTATGGGTGAATCTCATAAAACCTCCAGCTCATATCCCCCCCCCAAAAAATATATATATGTATATATACTGTATGTACTGTATGTGTGTATATATACAGTATATATTAATTAAAAATGTATAAATCCTAAAAATAGCCTGATTTGGGGGGAAAAATGACTTTCATATCAAAATATATTTATATCCAAAATTTATTTATATTATATTATGATATTTATATATTTATAATGTCCTCGTTTTCCATAAAAATAATGTAAAAAAAAATATGAATGGACCATAAAATATGTTTACTTTTCTTTATTCACATATATTCTTATTTTAATTGTGGGGGAAAATATGACTGAAAAAAATATAAAAATAGAAATATATTTATAATAAATAAATAAATAAATAAATAAATAAATATTATATTGAAATAAAATATAATACTATTAATATATATTTTTAAATTTTTTTTTTTTTCACATTTTAATTTGGGGGGGGAAATATGACTGACAAAAATCTAAAACATTTTTAATATTTGTAATGTAATGTAAATATTTGTCATGAATTTAATTCTATTTTTATTTTCTATGTATATTTCTATTCAAAAATAAAAATAGGCTTCCTTTTTAATGCACATATAGATTCTTATTTTAATTTGGGGGGGGGGAATATGACTGACAAAAATCTAAAACATTTTTTATATTTGTAATGTAATGTAAATATTTGTCATGAATTTATTTCTATTTTTTAAATATATTTTATTTAAAAATAAAAATAGGCTACCTTTTTAATGCACATATAGATTCTTATTTAAATTTTGGGGTGAAAATATGACTGAAAAAAGTGTAATAAATATATAAAAATATATAAATAAAAACATAATGGTCCCAAAAGTAGGCCTTCTTTTCTTTATTCACAGTATTTATTTTAATTTTGGGAAAAATATGACTTTGACAGGTTCCCATAAGCCTTACATGTGTAGACTAATGCTGCTAAACCTGTTTGGTGACGTTTAATGCAATGAATGAAGCGGGAGTAAATAAATACACACAAATGTATCGGCTTCAGATTTCAAGAATGGCAGCCTTCCCGTCAAATCTACTGCTCTACAAGTCTGCATGTAAAACAACCATCATTTTATGGTTGATCTTAAATCTTCTTTAAACAGCAATGCATGACATGACAAATGCCTGCTAATAAAACATGGGGCAACACCTCTTTATCTAAAAAGGATACTCAACCGAAAGCACATATTGACACAGAGATGGCGACATGCCATGCAGGTGTTGGGTTTTGGTTAAACTTCATGCAGTCCTGAGAGCAATGAACGGTAACCTCGCTGATTACAACCTATTTGCTGTGCTGGAGTGTTGTTTATATATAACGAAACAGCCAAGTTCCATGTTTTAGAAAGTAAAAATAGCTTGACTCTGTGAGACGCCGCCACAGGTGAACCACAGACATGAAGTTATATTACTCTAAACTGAACTGAAACTTGGATGAAAAAAAAATCCTTGAGGTCTGTCTTTCCTACTGGGGAATCTTTTCCTTTTCTTTTCTTTTTTCTTGTGTAAGTGCCACTTCAGCCATATCCACTTGGAGCACCGTCTCATTTGAAAATAAAAGTAATACAAACAAGAATTTTTGATTTTTCTGAACAAAGAGTGATGCTAGGCATTCTGGGTGGTTTCTGGGTTGCAGCATAGCAACACCTTGGCAACCACTAAGATAGCAACACACCAGAATCATTCAGAATCTGGTGTTTGTCAATATGGTGCTTTGCAGTTTCCATGTGTTTAAACAGTTTTAGTCTGTTGCTAAGCAGTTGCTAGAGTGTTCTGAGTGGTTTCTAGCATGTTGCCAAAGTGTAGGGTTGTTGCCAAGGTGTTGCTATGCAATTTGTAGAGTGTTTTAAATAGTGTGTTGCTAGAGTGTTTTAGTGGTTTCTAAAATGTTGCCAATGTGTTGGGTGGTTGCCAAGGTGTTGCTACACAGTTTGTAGAATGTTTTAAATAGTGTGTTGCTAAGCAGTGTTCTAGTGGTTTTTAGCATGTTGCTATGCAGATGGATATGCATTCTGGGTTGCCAAGGTGTTGCTATGTAGTTGCTATCGTGTTTTACATAGTATGTTGCTATGTAGTTGCTAGAGTGTTCTGAGTGGTTTCTACAATGTTATGCATTCTGGGTGGTTACCAAAGTGTTGCTATACAGTTTCTTGGGTGTTTTAAATAGTGTGTTGCTAGGCAGTTGCTAGGGTGTTTTAAATAGTGTGTTGCTATGCAGTTGTTAGAGTGTTCTAAATGGTTTCTAACATGTTGCCAAGGTGTTAGGTGGTTGACAGGGTGTTGCTATGCGGTTTCCATGTGTTTAAACAGTTTTAGTCTGTTGCTAAGTAGTTGCTGGTTTGTTATGATTGGTTTCTAGCATGTTGTCAAGGTATTGGGTGGTTCCCAAAGTGTAGCTATGCAGTTTCTAGAGCGTTTTAAATAGTTTTAGTCTGTTGCTAAGCAGTTGCTTGAGTGTTATGAGCGGTTTCTAGCATATTGTCAAGGTATTGGGTGGTTGCCAAGGTGTTGCTATGCAGTTTATAGGGTGATTTAAATAGTTTTAGTGTGTTGCTAAGCAGTTGCTAGAGTGTTGTAATAGTTTCTAGCATGTTGCTATAAAGATTGCAATGCATTTTGGGTGGTTTATGGGTTGTTGCATAGCAACATATTGGTAACCACTCAGAATGCATAGCAGCATGCTAGAAATCACTCAGAATCTGTTGGTTGGCAATGTAGCTTCTATGTGTTTCAATCTGTTGCTAAGCAGTTGCTAATGCATTCTGATATGATTTCTTGAGTGGTTGCCATGGTGTTGCTATGCAGTTTGTAGAGTCTTTTAAATAGGGTGTTGCTAAGCAGTTGCTGGAGTGTTCTAGTGGTTTCTAGCATGTTGCTATGCAGTTTGCTATGCATCCTGGATGGTCACAACAGTGTTGCTATGCAGTTTGTAAGACATTTTAAACATTTTTAGTACTATGCAGTTGCTAGAGTGTTCTGAATGGTTTCTAGAATGTTATGCATTCTGGGTGTTTACCAATGTGGTGCTATACAGTTTCTAGGGTGTTTTAAATAGTGTGTTGCTAGTTGCTGGAGTGTTCTGGGTGGTTTTTAAAATGTTATGCATTTTGGGTGGTTACCAAGGTATTGATATGCAGTTTCTAGGGTATTTTGAACTGTTTTACTTTGTTACTATGTGCTTGCTTTTCTAAAAAGTTTCTGAGTGTTCTGGATGTTTGTTCTTTTCTTTTTTTTTAGTTGTTGAGAGTTTGGTGTATTTTATTGTATTGCTATACAGCTGCTAGGGTGCTTTCCATTCATAAATGGAATAAATATCATGTCAATTTTTTTCCCACTTACTGTAAGGGTTGGATGTTTGGAAAAATATGTAATCCTGGGTTAAGTAAGATGATAATAGTGATACTTGCATTGCGTCTTTGATTTATGTAACGCAAGGTGTAAAACTCCTTGATTTCCATTACCAATCCTCTCTGAGTCAGGTCTGGAATGAACCTTAACAGCTCATTAACGCAGACGCTTTTACACTAGCTGTTAATATCACGTTGCGAAATTCACACCCTTGGGTACATTTGGAAACTTTTGAGTTTTACCTTTAGGTTAAACCAGCTGTAAGTTTCCATGGCTTTTCTCGGTCAGCAGGAAGTGCATAATAAGTGTGGACAAACACAGGAAACAGGACATGCTGTCATGTCATGCTGCCCTTCCTCCCTCCACACGCTCTTACTCTCTCAGTCAAACGCTTTGAGCCGCTGTATTCACTAGCGTTCGCCCCGGGGGAGGGGAACAAGAAAAATTTCCCAAGACAATATCAGCTGCTCTGTGTGTTTACTATCCTCTCTGCCCTTAGTAGGGGAGATTGGGGGCAACTGTAACACAAGGCAGTTGTAAACAAACAACATTTTTCAGTCTCAAACAGGCAAGCATAGTGACACTTATACTGACCATGATCAAGATTAAGTTATGAATACAGGACTTTATCATTGCTGAGAGGTCAGGGGCAATTATTACATGATTGAACTGGCTTCAGATTTCAAGAATGGCAGCCTTCCCATCAAATCTACTGCTCAACAACTTTGCATGTAAAACAACCATCATTTTATAGTCAACCTTTCTTTCTTAGTCAATCTTTTATAGTAGATTTGCCCTAAACAGCAATGCATTTAATGCACCTGCTAATAAAACACGAGGCAACACAATTATGTGACTTGATTCTTTACAATATTCAATAAACATTTCATTGAATCATATAGCTAAAGATAGATCTTATGAGCTAGTCAGATTATTTTAGTTATTTAGCTTTCAAATCATTAAAATATTGGTGCTGTTTAAGAACTTTGGCTTTAAACATATTCCTGAAATGTAAAGAACCATATGGACCATATGGAGAAGAAAAACATTCATGAATATTAATTATTTTAAAGCAATAATATTATTATAATGACTGTTTTTGAGATGTATATTGTTATTTGAGTTTATATAATTTTGTGTTGCTTCCAACCATTCAGGTTTACATTTATTTTTTATATTATAATCTTTATATTCATATATATATATATATATATATATATATTCATATTCTTAAGCTGAAAATATAAAATAACAAATACGAGTTCTGAAGGATCATGTGATAAGACTAGAGTAGTTTTGAATTTGATTTTACTTTTATATTCTTTGTTTTCATTTTAATTTTAAATAAAGTTTTAGTAATTTTGTTGTGTATTTGGTCATTTTTATTATTATTTTTAAATATATATTTATATAGTTTAAGTTTTTTTTTTTTAATTATAGTTAATTTAGTACTCCAACTAAATAAAAATGAGATGTTGCATCAGCAACCTGCTGAAATAAATTACGTTTAATATTTTATTTTATATCACTTAATGGATCTTTTTTCCAAGCATACATTTTTTTATGGTTTTATTTAACAATGATAACCCTGAATAGAAATGCCAATTTAAAATGTAATGCTTTTTTTTCACAGTATTACTGCTTTAATTGATTTTTGAGCAAATAAATGCAGCCTTAGTGAGCATAAGAGCCTTATTGACCCCAAACTTGTTTCAAATGTTTCTTATACCAAAAGATGGCAGGTATATTTAGAGTGCTAATCTGTGAGTTAAGGAAAATTTAAAAAAAACAAAAAATGTCACAATGTTCTCCCCTGCTAATACAGCTACCTCCCAAGCATTAAAAACTTTATACATCCCTGCCGGCTGTATTCTCACCGAAACACATCGTAAATACATCACAGGTGAGCTATTTACAGAGACCTATTGTTTCTGCCTTCTCTATGAATACCTCATCTCGCTCTCTTTTATCTCTCTTCTTGTGTTCTCATCTATTACCGCATCGACCAACTTTTCCTCTTTCTCTGCCAATGGAAATCACACCGTGACCGCGTGAACGCTCGCCACTGACGATCACAATGGAGTTTAATGGAAATCAGTCAATCATTTCTGCCCTGTTGTGGAGAGGTTTAGTTGATGCGGTGCCGCAGTCGTTTCAGTGATACACGGCGCTGCATGTGGCCCACGGTGCACCATTCAGGGGACATAATGAGCGCTCTGTAGACAAGCTGAGGTTGTTTTTAGCTAAACAATTATCTACCTCTCCACCCTCCTCCCTCTCTCTTTTTACATTACACCCAGATACACACACAAGGAAGTTGCACGGCGATGACTACAAACACATTTTTGACCTCCACATATGCATCCTGCCACTGTCATTAAAGAATCAAGAGAGGGCCGGATCTAGTTTCATCCTGTTGAGTCTTCTCTGGCCTTGCTTTTGTGTCATCCGAGCAAGTCCTGACAAAAGAGCCAGTGTGTTTCATACTGGACTCTTGCATTATTTACCAAAGAGCTGTGAGCTGGTCATGTGACCCGAACAGGAGGGAAGTTACTACAGTGAACTGCATGAGACAGCAGGGCTTCTGGTTTTAGACCGGGGAGCCCGAGTGTTGAATGAGTCTAACCTTGGTGGAGCAATTTCTAGTCAATACTCAGGATGTTGTGACAAGATAGAGAGCAGGGCCGTGACGAGCACACACACATACACACACACACACGCACACACACACACACACTCTCAATATTCAGATTAGTCGTTGATCAATATGGGTTTTTCTACAACAGATTCTTAATTTTCTCAATTTGGCTCACTCCAATACAAGTCAATACTAAAATTAAATATAGCTTTATTCAGTCTATATACATATAGTATTCTCTTTTTTTATTCTGATTATTTATTTGGAAATGCATGCTAAATGCTACATAAAATTGTAGATGCCATTATATATACATATGTATGTGTGTGTGTGTGTGTGTGTGTGTTTATATAAATTTCATATTACATTTTTAATATTAATATTATTTAATATTTAATATTATATTATTTAATATTATTGACTTTTTATTTTTATTTAGTTTAGTTTATATATATATCCATGAAAAGTTTGGTGCAAAAACAATTTTAGTAAACCATTTTTTATTTGCTAGCAAATTTCACAATTAATTACAACAAAACTGCAAGTAGCACATTAAATTAAACATTACATTTTGAAATATAAAAACTGAAGTATTTTCTTGTAAAACATACTCCAATAATCTTTGTTATACGTTGTTATTATTATATATTGATTAATGTATATTGATCATATATTTAATTTCTTAATTTTAGTTTATTTTGTGTTAGTTATTTTAGTACTTCAACTTAAAATGAAAATAAGAAATGCTGCCTTGGCAACTATCTGAAATAAAATAAGTTTGCTTTTTTATATTTGATTTTATTTTGAGTTACTTTTCCATTTCAAGTAATGAAACCTTTTTTATGGTTTTAGTTTTAGTTAACAATAATAGCCCTATAATAAATAATAACTTCTTGTGGGTTTTTACAGATGCCTTATTATCTAGTACTGATTTGTTTTTAAGAACAACTACTGATTTTTATATGTTTGCTCTGTTTGCTGTGGAGTCAAGAAATCTGTAAATATGATTAAAAGATGAATATGAAACAAAACTACATAATGTCACATTTTATTATTGTTCGATGACGACACACACAAACCAGGATGAAGACGAGGGAGCTGACTTCGAGAGAAAAGCAAGCAATCTGGATGCTAAAAGATGAAGTCAATTAGAGCTATAGCAAAAACAAACGGCAAGGAGAAATCAAGTGTTTGATCTTCAGTGTTCTGATAGGATGACTTGCTGCTCAAGAAACATTTCTTATTATTATCAATGTTGAAAATAAGTTGTTCTGCTTTGCATTTTTTTTGGAAACCATGCATGATACTATTTCATGCTGAATTTAAAAAAAAAAATTATTTCAAAAACAAACCCCAAGGAGTAAATCATGACATTGTTCTCTTACCTGTGTGTGATCTGCCTCCCTGTTTTCATTCTCCTTCCACAGCTGATCCTTATGGCCGTCCACATCTGGCTGTAGGGGTCGATATCCGATGAGGGGCACCTCTCTCGGCCCCACACCCGGCAGCTCTACTCCAGATGTCTTCATACTTCGAGGGAGCATGATGATGATGCTGGCCAGAAACAAACCAAAACACAGGTCACTGGAGAGGAACAGGCAGCTCTATGCCTGCTAAATCATTTGTTTTCATCATTTACTTTTCCCTTTGCCAAGAGACAACTCTGAATTTGAATTTCAGGCCCCTCCCTCGCCTTTTCCTCTGTCCCTCACTGCTATTTATATTAGCCTGCAGATAGAGATCTCTTTCAGGAAGAGAAGGATGGAAAGAGATCAGCTCACCATCAAAACTCAGTGCCATTGTCACAAACAGCAACAACCAAGATGTGTTAAACAAGTGAAAGTTCATAAACATCATAGTTCATAACAGCTTTCAGTGAGGCAATTCACTAGTAAGGGATAAACATTTATTAGTGTGCAAAACAAGAGTGAAACCTTGCAGGAAAATAATGCTTCCTTTCATCTAACCCTAACCCTGCCTAAAGCACTCAGCCTAACTGTGTTATTTTCAATTTACTGAATCTTAATAGGAACGTAGGCTATCAAACGACGTTACGCACAGGACGCGCACGCGTCTTTTCTCTATGAACTTACAGTTTGCTTATACATGACACATCTTCTCTTAACGGCTCGCATTAGAAGACAAACGTTCGCGTTCATTCACACCCAAACGAAACGCAGAAATACCTGTTAGGAGAGCAATATCGCGTCCATCCGCCCCTGCGTGTGGGTTCCTCGGAAGTCAGAGTTTCTGTCCCTCCATATCTCTCCCCTCCGGCTTCGTCCGTCAGCGCTTATCGGCGCGATGAAGGCGGCGAGCTGAGCGTGTTGGTGAGGTCTGCGCTGGTGACGCGCGGGCGGCGCGTTGGGCGCAGTTCCTGCTGTGGCTGCAGCGCGTGTGGTCATTGGCTGGACGCGCTGATGAGGAGCGGTGCCCGGTAAATTCAGAGCAGCAAGAGCACCGGACGCGTCGCGACACAACAAGATCGCTCTCATAAAACATAAGCGAAGCTGATTATACTGGAAGCGCTCGATGCAACGCGGACTTCTCGTTTCTATTTTTTGCGTATTGCTTAGTCCCTCAACTTCATGTTTATTGATTTAGTTTGTTTATTGCACTGCTGTAGCCACTTTTCCCCACCTCTAATAAAATAATGTTATTCATTTGTTATTCTTGCAATTACTGTTTATTTTATTTTGCTTCCATCCACTTTATTTCTCTCATTAATCTGAAATAAATTGACTCATATATA